GGAACGCAGTTTCCATCTCTTGCCATGTTGTGATACTCCTAGCGGGAAGCGAGTAAAACCATTCTTCCGCATCATCAGTGAGTGTGAACGGAAACATAACTAATCTCTTAGCCTCTTCGGAATGGCCTTCTATTTTCAGCGAGGTGGTGGTTGTGAGGAATCTCTGAAGATGTTTATTTGCATCTTCGTTGATTCTTCCGGCGAACGGCTTGCTCTCCAACTGACGGATGGTGGAAGGGTGTAGCTGAAAATGTGCAGCATTCACCGGTTGATTCACAATGGTCATCCGGTTCGGTTGAGCATTGGCCCCTCCATAGTCTCCTAGCAGTCTTTCAGGCTGAGGTGGATTTCCAGCCATTTGAACAGTCTCAGGTGGTGTCTCTCTCTCCTCGGAGTCGCTCTGCACGGATATAATTTCCTCTATTTCTTCCAGTCTTTTAACTTTAGCTAATCTCCGTCTTTCGTGTAATGCTCGTTCTGGTTCTGTATCAAAAGAATATTTAGCTGAGGCCTGACCTCGCATACACAATTAGACAAGCGTTAGATAATAAACGGATAAAAGTAATGCAATAAACAATAAAATTTTAGTCGCAGAGCAACAAAATTTCTTTTGGATTCTAAACACAATGTTAATTTGGCAGTCCCCGGCAACGGCGCCAAAAACTTGATCGGGAAAATAGCAAGTGTACTATTTTTACCAATCGTAGTAATAAGGGAAACGTCCCAAGTATCGATCTCGAGGACTGCGTAGTAATTAACAGAATTTTTAGAATTCAATTGAACAAAAGGTCTAGTGGTTTGTTTGGTAGCAGAGTAATCTCACAGTAAAGACGGACTGAATTAATTAATCTAAGAACAGTGTTAGGGGAGTGGAGACAATACGAGTGCAGACTCTGTATGATTATTCTACTTTACTCGTTATTAACCTTAATCTATCAGTTGGCCACTTTAGTTGCCTTAATTCCTTAATGGCAACCCTTTGATGATTTTCCTGTTCACTAATTCCTCAGTGTCCCTGAAAAACATCAAGCAATAACTCCGACCATAAAATACGGGATACGGGATATCCTCATTCCTAAGCAATATCGACCGTGATACTATTTTGCAAAAGTGTTAGGTTGACTTTCCAGACTAAGCCTAAGCACTATTCGAATTCTACTTTCCAATAGGAATACGAATAAGGTTAATGCAAAATCAAATATATTAAGGTAAAAACATAAGTCTCGTAGAATAATTAAATACATGTCATTACATCGCATTAAGGACCACCCCCTAACAACTTGGGGGTTTAGCTACTCATGTTCTTGGTCAACATAAAAGTAATTAGAATTAAAAAGGAGAAGATCATTACAATTGAAATTGGGGGACTTGGATCATCAATTGCTTCCGCTCTTGATCGATCCTTTGTTCTTCCGAATTCTCCGGCTTCAGTTCTCTCCTCTCAATCCTAATCAAAAACGTGCCTCCTTTCTTTCCAAAATAAGGCTTAATATAACTCAATTCAAATTACATGATAAAATGTCTAAAATGCCCTTCAAAATGGCTTCAATAGTGAAAAATAATAAAAACAGCATTTTCCTCATCAGTGGCCCTGACACGGGCCGTGTTGTGTGACACGGGTGGCCGTGTCAGGCTGCTGTAACTCGAAACTGAGAAAAAAACATCAGGGGCTGCAACACGGGCCGTGTTGTGTGACACGGGCACCCGTGTTGCTCTTCTGTTTCCAACTCTTCTTTTCTCCTTTTCACCCGTGTCCTCCTGGCCGTATCCCTCATGACACGGGTCGTGTTGTGCAACACGGGCACCCGTGTCATGCCTCTGACTTGTGCTTTTTCGGCTTTTCTTTGTCTTCGAAACAGTGCGGATGTCCGGCCACCGATTCCTGCCAAAAATACACTAAAAGAAACCAAATCAAACGCATCGGCGGCAAAAGCAATAAAGTTATTAAACTAAGACTCATGCGAAAACACTGCAAATAACTATGACAAAACAAACCAAAGACTAGAAAAAGAGATAAAACAATGCGAAACCAACGACAAACATAGTTTGGAAAACACAACTAAAATCCCCCAATCAGCAGGCAAGATACTTCATCTAGAGTAATCGTCATCTCACCAAATGGCATGTGAAATGAAGATGTCTCTAGATGCCACCTCTCTGCAAAAGCGGAAACTAGGTTTGTGTCTATCTTTGTTAAATTGGTTCTCTGAAGTGAAGCTAGACCAGACCTAGATATCCAGCTCTCCATCTCTCTGGGTAACTGTAGTGGAACCCTCTGAGTCAACTTTATCCCATGTCCCGCCACCTTTAACTCTTTCTTCGACCCTCTCTCCTGGAAAAAAAATTAAAAGTAAAAATATTATAAAATTCAATATTAAAAATTCGAATTCTATTCAATATTAAATAATTTTCGTTTACTTACCTCACCGAACCATATACGGTATGCAATATGCTGTTCGTATTTAACTAACAGAGACGTATCATACGGTCCTCCGGGATATCCAACCGGCTCGGATGCTAATGCTGATGCTGATGCAGATGCATCAAAATGCTCTTCTTCAGCCATCCTCGATGACTCGCCCCGTCCTAGTTCACGAGGGATCCTACCATCTCTGCCTCTTGTGTGCACCACTGGAAAAAAATAATTAAAAATTAAAAAATAAATAAATAAATATAATTAGAAAACAAAAATTAAAAAAAAGCAATGAACCGGAAGTCTTCAAGAAAGACTTCCGGAGATGAAACGAAACATTGACTGAACCGGATGTCTTTAGGAAAGACTTCCGGTGACTAAACTAAAATCTTTTCTGAACCGGAAGTCTTCAAAAAAGAGTTCCGGTGAACAACCTCAAAATTTTGTGAACCAGAAGTCTTAATGAAAGAGTTCCGGTGAAGAAGTAAAAACAAAATACAACCCGGAAGACTTACTCTTAGTGTTCCGGTATGTATTGCAACTGAAATGTGTTCCGGAAGTGTTTGTGTGAGAGTTCCGGTTTGTAACAAAATTTGAGAGTTCCGGAAGTCTTAAAATGGAAAGTGAGAAATGGAAGTGAAAAATGAAAAAAATGTAAGATTATAGATATTTAACTAAGGGTATTTTGGTCCAAATTTTTTGAGTGTAGGGATGTGGGTATAAGGGTAGGGGTATGAGGTAAAACTTCCTCTCTAATCAGCCTCGCTATGAGTACATCTACCCTCAATTTAAAATCGAATTGAGATACCTGCAATTAATCTTACTTTGTAAACAATATATATACAAGAGATGAAGAACTCTAACCCTACAAACCATATGATTTATTGTTGATTCTACCACCTCTAAAACCCTTGATCAAAGATTGATCAAGTCACCAACAATGCCGCTTCAATTCACCAATTCTTGCTACTTCCTTGCAAGGAACCACCTTGTCTCAAGGTTTTCACACGGTCGAATTAATTCCAAGGGCACACTTGTTGAAACCCAAGATTTACCAAGACCATCCACCGTCAAACGCTACTCCCTTGCAAGGAACCACTTTTCCATAAGGCTTTCACTCGATCGGGTCCAACTAGCGTAATCTTGTCCAAAACTTTCAAATCCTCAATGATATTAAAGAAAAACTCTAACTCGGTTTTCTTATTTGAAACCTTCAAAGAACTCAACCCAATATTCTCGGTACACCAACCTAATTGGATGTTATCAACCCTAATCTAGATGGTCAACCAATCAAAAAATAATTATGTGTAGTTTGATTGTGCATATACATAAAAAAGATGTTGAAGATGATGAGTGTGATTTGAAATTTCAGCTTCGTATAAGTGTCACACTAGAACCTTACGAGAAAAAAATGTATGTAAAAAAAATTTATTTTGGCATGACAATTAACCAGATCAATCACTATATAAAAAAGTTGAAACTACGTTGTAATACGAGTAAAAAAAAATTGAAGATATTAATTTTTTTGATGAAGATGAAAAAATTTGTGCTACAACTATTAATGTTGTATATCCTAACTTGTTTGACAAATTATAAATGACTACATCTAAAAAGGGATAAGTTTTGTTTTACTTTTTCTTTTTGCAGGAAGTTGTTTACTACTAAAAGATCAAATTCAGCAATGAAACTCATTTCCCATTTAAATTAATTAAATATTCAAATAACTGATACGGGTACTATTCATTTTTGTCGCACTTGATATGTCTATCATTGGTTATATATGATTAGCTGTCAATCAGAATTGTGGCGTGAATTAACCTGTAGTTTTGCACGTGTTTAAAAACTAATAAAAATCAAATGAAATCTTATTTGACATCCACGCTATAACATTAAAATATTATTTCTCTATTAATTAATGTCTTTTTCCTATAAAGAGTGATTCAATTGATTTTTTTTACGCAGATTAAAAAAAATAAAGGAGAGAATGATATTTTTATTAAAATACTATTATCATATTGAGAATGATAAAAACAATATTAATTATAAAAGGGTCTTGCTAACCGGTGCCCTCATGACACTATTTAAACATTCCATATTAAGAAATTATTTTTTAAAAAATTCAAACAATTCAATTTCCAATGCACATTATTACACATTATTGCACGTACTTTTATAAAAATTTACTATTTAAAATTTTAAAAGTGCCCTGAGGGCTGAGGACACTGGTTAGCATTTCCCATTATAAAAATATGCATTGAAAATTAAAATAGATTATTTATTTTAAAAAATATTTTTATTTAAATAAATTATTCAATGGAAGAGTATTATCCACTGGCCAGGACTAGAAATTTTGAGAAAAATATGAATACTGACAGAACAGAACCTATGATAGGACAACAGTATTAATTTAGTTTTGTCTGCAACATTGAAATCCAAAACAATATGCACAGTCACAAAGAGACAAGTTTCTTAAACTCCTCAAAACAATAATGTTACTACATATACATGATTGTAGATTAATCAAAAACAGATTAATTAAAAAAAGCTAATCATTATTAGGATTATAATTTTCTTCTTGTTCGTTCATTCATTCATGTTCCAATCTCATTCGAATCGCAGATCTAAGACTCTCTTCATTTCTCATCTCATCAGGAAGTTGAACAACCACAACATCTTGAACCATAATTTCATTAAAACATGATATACTCGCATGATGTACCTGAAACTCCAAATCCTTAAACACACTCATTAATCTTGCTCCAGGGTGATTAACATTCTCGGATTGAACTCTCACCATAGCATCATTACCTATAATCTTCACATCAATATCCAAAGCACTAACATTGTTGTTGTTGTTGTTACTGCTACATGTTGTTTTTTGGTCCACCACAGTTGAAGTTGTTGTTACGGTACTTTCGATTGTTTCCATCTTCTGTTTTTTTGATTCCTTTTGATTCTCTGATTCTAGTTCTTCGATTTTCGCTTTTAACTCGTTGATGTAATCCACTGCATCTGATAACAATGAAGCTTTATCCATCCTTGAAACGTTTGGAACCACTGCTCTTAGAGCGTAGAATCTGTTGTTTAGTTTCTCTCTCCTCTGTCTCTCTGCTTCTACATGGTTCATCGGAGTTTGAATTCCGGTTAGTGGTTTTCTTCCTCTCTTCTTCGGTTCTCTTTTCTCAAAAGAATCATTTGTTGTTGTTGGTGTTGGTAATTGTGGATAATATTCTGAGTCAGAATGTTCAGAATCTATGTAACATGATGAAACAATGTTGTGCTTTTTTTGTGATTTTTTGTTCATTGTTTTTTGTGTCTTCTCGGTTTCCTCGCTGGCGCCGGAGATGATACCGATGTCGGAGAATGAGATGTTTTGGTCGAAAGTTTGGATTTTGTCAAGTGGGTTGGTGGGAAGAAGATCTAGTTTTGAGTTTGAGTTTGATTCTGACGAGGATGTTAGGAACATGGATTTAGCTTGGTGTACGAGGTTCCAATTTTGTTGGATATTTTCATAAGAACCCATTTCGACAACTCCGTTGGTTGTTGGAATACAAATCAACGTTTGGATTCCGTGCACGTGTGCTTCATTGGATCTCTCACAGTTATAAAATTGAAGCTCTTGTTTGCTATTCAACCAAAGAACAGAATCTAAGGCAAAAGCTTTACCAGGTAAAGAAATGGAAGAAGAGTTACCGACGGAGAAGCTTCGAGTCAACGACATGACGTAGAACCATTCAGCGTCACCGTCTGTACATGTGTCTGTGTCTGTGTTAGTGGTTGTGTCTGTGTCGTATAGTTTTTTTGAAGTTGTTGTTTCTTTGGTTCCTTGGAAATGGCCTTCGCCCCAAGATAAGAAAGAATGACCTTTTTCATCTTTTGATGTTTGCCACAAAATGGCATAGACCCAATTGTCGGATTGAGATTGGAGTAAAACTTGAAGCTTTTGTTGAAGGGTTGATGTTTGTGGTAATAAAGGGTTTTGTATCATGGAGGAAGATGATGAAGGTGAGATGATGAAATCTTCCATAGGTGGTAGTAAAGTGTATGAAGAAAAAAAGAGAGATGAATGATGAGATTGGGAAAAGATGGAGAATAGGGAACAAGAGGTTGAAGTTGATGAATAGAGTAAAAGTAGAAATTTGTATGTTGTACAAATGAGTGATCTTTTTAGGTTAAAAAAAGAGTGTAAAATTAGGGTTGGGAGAAGCAATGAAGATTTATGAGCATATAAGTGGAGGGTAATTACTTGAACTAATATGGTGAAGCAAGAGTGTTATTTTTGGTGAGAATGGATTGAGAAAATTGGGTACAAATAATGTTGAGATGGAATAATGTATTGGTACTATTAGGCCTTACAAGCACGTGAAGTGAAAGTGAAAGGTGCAATGATGCATATAAATCATAGGACAATGTTGTGTAATGTGTTGTAGTGGGGTCTTGCTTGTATGGTGAATTTCTGTTGTTTCATGGGAAAATTACTAAGATAGTTAAACAAACTAATTTACACTTGTTGGTTTAAAACTTTTTAGTAGTCTATGCTTCTTTTTCATTCTAATGTTATAATTCTCATATTTTCAAATGAAAGTGTTTTAATGTTTTTATACACATAAATGAAACAAGAGTATAGTAATTTTACTATATTATATTTAATATGTCTATTGATATGTTTTTAATCTTTTTACAATTCTTTGCATCATAGGTGTACTATGTCTATTTGTGAATGCACCCAAGAACTATTGATGTATGCATACACATATATATTTTGTAATGTATCTAGACTCTTTCTAACTATCACGTGCATAATTTATCTTTTGTAAACCCTTGTAGCTCATATTATCACGTTCTTCTGCTTCAACTCGGATTACAAATCTATGGCCTATGAATTAGATGATACACTTTACTTAGAGAGAGGTAGAAACTTAATTAGCATGTAATTATGAAAAAGTAACATGTTTGGCGTGATATACAGTGAGATTCGATAATTCATCGTGAGATGGTATTTATAATATTTTAAAGGTTTTTTTTATTTATTTTTAAGTTGGTTGAAAATATAAATGTGGAAAAAGTTTTATATTGTTTAATCTTAAAAAAGAAGAAAGAGATCAAGGCTATTTAGGGTTGGTTATGCTGAAGAAATCGCATATTGTTTAATTTTGTAAAGGAAGAGAAAGTCTATGACTATATATTAAGGATTCATGTTCTTTGTTATAAGAGGCACTAGACTTAAAATACTTTAAGTTTGTATTTGTTTGAATTTTTATATTATCTCTTATATTTTTGTGTTAGAGTGTTGATAGGTAGTTAAATATTTATTTTTAAGAGTGCATGTGTATTGAGGTTTTGGGGGGGTTGAAGGCAATCTATGTATTGTAGCAATTTTTAAAGTGTTATTCTCTGGTTGTCTTTTGACAATGGTCGTGATTTTTTCTTTGATTTTGGAGTTTCCACGTTAATCTGCTTTGTTGTTATTGTGTTCCACTTTTTTCTCTATAATTTATTTTTTCCAAGGAGTGGTATCAAGACCCTTAGTTTGGTGGGGTATAAACTTTTTAGTATGCTTTGTGGTTGCAATTTTGTCTGATCTTCCACATCAGAAAAAATTATACTTTGTGTTGGTTAAGAAATATTTGTTTTGCTGCAAGAAATTTTTTGACTGCAATGTCAAGTTTTTCAAGTGCAGTGAAGATTGATTTAGAGATATTTGATTGAAGAATTAATTTTGTCTTATGAAAAATTCAAGTCAAAGATATTTTGACACAATTATGATTATCCAGTGCGTTGAAAGGAAATATTTTCAACATAGACAACGAAAAGTAGGAGGAACTAAATTTGAGAGCTTCGAGTATAATTCACATGTCTTTAGCTAAGAATATTCTTGAGAATGTTCTTGGTACGTCGTCAGCCAAAGAGCTTTAAGAGAAACTTGAAGGACTATTGTTTAATGGTATTTTTAGTAAACAAATCACGAGTTTTAATTCACTTAAAAGATTAAACTCGAAAAAAATCATAAAGATATATTTTGTGAAATGTTTGAGAAAGTGTAACAGTGTTGTAATACTTTATATTTGAATTTAAAAGTATTGGATGCAAGTTGGAAGAAATAAGTGCATAAGTACTTAAAAAGGATAAAGTAAATGAAGAAAATGAAGAAAATATAAAATTGGATAAAGATGATTGAATTTAAAAGTGGAATCCAAGTTCATACATTTCTCATAAATTTTGTATCTTTGTGACTCAAATGTTTGAATTATATAGAAAACAAAATGAAACGCGAACGTTTGTGGCTGAAACCAAATATATTTAAATACTATGTACCTCAATAACTGTTGGAAACTTGTCACTCCTCTAAGATTCGACACGTATCTTGTTACTTGATCTTTTGTATTTTGATATGTTTCCACATGTCTTTGGTTCTTGAACTACCTCAAACTGCTATCACACTCGAAATTGTCTTCAAGTTCTCTAACAACCTCTTTCTCCTGTCGAATATTGTGGTTTGACGTCGAAAGACATACCTTAGCTACCTATTTATATCTATCTCATATACACATTATTTATCGAACAACCCGAGTCAAAAATCATAGGTTAGCAGATACCCCATAAAAAATATCATTTTTGATCATATTTCCGATATGGCAGACAAATGGCGTTTTTTTAGTAACTCCAAATACTAATCAAATTGTTTCGCATATGTCACCATCATCATGACTACTACGACTTAACCATCACGTCAGTAACATGCATGTATCTACCATCATGGCTTTAATTTCCAAGGCCATCATGGGCCAAAAGAATTAACCACGTTAAATAATAGGAAAATCATTAATCATAAACGTTTTAACACAAAAATTCAAAACGCCAAATTTTTATTCTTCTATATAAGTTCATTTTCAACACTTTTATAAGTTCATTTTCTCTTCTTTCTTTTGTTTCACCACTTTTATTCTTCTGTACACTAAGAACTCTCATACTCTTCAAGCTTCCATTTTCACATATCCTTTCAACTCCAGTTCTAGAAAAAATGGCTTCTACTTCTGGTTTAAAACAACAACTCTCAATTCCTTCTACTTCAGATGTTATTGTTCCTTCCTACTCTGGAAATCGCACCTACATCCTTCAACTTCCAATGGAGAAATAAAAAACCATCACCTGGGCTTCTTATATGCTAGTTCCCTTTTTTACCTCAGGTAGTGTTCATGCATTTTCAGATCCTTTACCTAAGTCTTCTAGAAAACTCGTTAAGTTAAGAAAATTCTTCCATTGCTTTCCCTATTATAAACCTCGTATGTTTGAGGACAAAATATTTGAGTTATGGTTTATGGATTCATCTCACCATGTATTTTTTTTCTCCTTATACCAACAATGAAGCGTATCTCAATTGGTTGAACAAAGTGGAAAGGAATAAAGGGAAAATCTGGAAAGACCAATACATTTTTGATTAGTCCCAAATATAATGCCAACATGCTCATCTCAGCCCTTTACTTTTGGGAGAGTTCCATAAATATATTTCACCTTTATTGCAGAATGATAACCCCCACGCTTTTCGACATCGATACCATTACTAGCATTCAACTAACCGAGGATACTTTCGACCCTACTCTAAAAAATAAGTTTAAACCCAATTTTTCTTTCACCCATGCTATCTTAATGCTTAAATTCAAGACCATCGTGATCATATTGAGGAGGTCTATGACTCTAAGCACAATACTTTTCTCACTCTCTCGTTATCCCATTTCTTCTTTTGTTCAAGTTCTCTACAAATAGCTAAGAAGTTTATAGCTTTAGCAACCCAGATTCATGAGGGATGCAATGTCTGCCTTAGAAAACTGATCCTATGTTCTATTTATGAATTCTTAGGACTTGTTTTTCTTAAATTGAAAATCACAACAAGCGAAGAAAAAATCTTGATTTCTGGCCCTATATGGCTCTTGCAACTTTGGCTAAACGCTACTTTTGAACCCTTTTCTCAATGCCTCTGCTCCAACTGATCTAGCAAGATGGGTTAAAGGTACCATATTGGCGCTAATAACTCCATAATATGTTGGATTTTTGACTGAATAAACCTTCAGGAAATATTTCTTCATGTATGTGGATTGTGCCACATTTGTTTCCTTCAATGCACCATTCGTCAGTCAAAGTCATGGACCAGATTGGTTTAGAAGAGAACTTCCCAGCTTCTTCATCTGAACATTGTTTCAAAGCTCTCAATATTTGGATAGCTTTCCTTAAACCTATTATTTTTTCGACCAAAAATTCTATGGGGAAAGCTAGCCTGAGACTTATGAGTTATACACCAAATTTGGTGGCTAAACAATTTGGTTTTAGCCAATTCTTACCAAGGTCTCTTTTCATCCATAAAGAGGAAATTTGTTTGGCCAACACCATACTATCTAAGAAAGACTATCAAGCATGTTTATACTTTCATGCCCACAAAGTCATTAATCAAACCCCTTTTGAATTTCGAGCTTTTTATTTATGCACCAAAGAATTTAAATAATGGTGGTCAGCATATCATCTGCTGCCATGCATATCGAATTCTCTAACAAACAACCATCCATCTCCATCATTTCTCCTACAAACATCATGTTGTTCTCCATTTCTCTGACGACTTCGACATTGGAGACGTTTCATCCCAGTGCCTCATTGGTGCTGATACTACCTGAGCTAGCATCAGATTTCTCACTTAATTCAACCATGTTAATGCCCTCAGTAGCATTCATTTTCAGTCCCCTTAATGCCATGTCTACTCCCTTGGCAGCTCTATCCAACTCAATAAACTTATTTGTAGTTTCCTTGGTTATCAATATCAAACCACTATCATCAGCACTGCCTCCATTTGGACTGTCTGCAATCTTGTTAGAGCCCTCAAAAGCTTCATCTCTCAGTTTGTGTTTGTCATTTTGGTCTAAACACTCATTTGCTTTGACCATTACCGACTTTGTGGTGAACTTTTCAGAAACCTCCACCACATTAATTGAAATATTGGAACCTTCGATGGCTTCGACTATCTGGACCTCTTCAGGCTCT